AAACTGCGCCCGGCCTCTTTCTGTTTTTTCAAGGGACGGGGTCCTCACTCTGTTGCTCAGGCTGGAGTACAGTGCGCCGATCATGGACTAACTGCAGCCTCGAACTCCTGGGCCTCAGATGATCCTTCACCCCAATCTCCAAAAAGGTTGGAATTGCCGGCATGAATCACTATCCCTGGCTAAATTTTTAAATTTTTTGTAGAGACAGACGGTCTCACTGTGTTGCCTAGGCTGGTCTTGAACTCTTGGCCTCAAGCGATCCTTCCTCCTCAGCTCCCAACGTACTGGGATTACAGGTGTGAGCCACTGCACCTGGCTAAATTCTGCACACCCTTTTCCTCTAGGGATAAAAATAATATGAAAGTGGAATGCCAGACTCCAAGATACACACACCAGTGGCCTGGCCCTTCGCTGCTACTCTGGCATGGAGAAGGGAAGTGCCCAATAACATCCTCTCTGTCCCTTCTTGTTGCCTCAAAACCAGCTGGAGTGCTGGCAGTGCCACCCAATCCATAATAGTCAGCAGAGAGCCGCAGGGCCGGGTCCACTGACATTGTGGGGGATGGGTGGTGAGGACTCCTGCCTGGGTCCTGTGCTACCCAAGCTTCGTCTACCTGAGCCTGTGTGCCACGTGCTAGACCACCATCTTTAACTCCTCAAGGACTCCCAAAACCAGAGAGGTAGGTTCACCTCCATGACTCTTGTTTTCCCGATGAGGAAATAGACACAGCCAGCTGCACTGACACACAGTCACGGAACCCGGCTGCTCGGGCGACCTTGCGTACTGCCTGCATAGCACGCCATCCAGAAGACCTGGATGGAGAATGGTTAATATTCTAAGGCATAGGGGTTCGCAGCAGGGACTACACACTTTTGAAATTTACCTACTAGGGGCTGGGCCGCAGTGGTTCACGCCTGACAATCCCACACTTTGGGAGGCTGAAGTGGTGCGGGATTACACAGGTCAGGACTGTTCCGAGACCCAGCCTGGCAATATGGTAAAGCCCCGTTCTCTATTAAAAATTACAGCAAATTAACTGGCGCGTGGTGGTGGGTGGCCTGTAGTCCGCGCTACTCGGGAGGCTGAGGCGGAGAAATTGCTTGAACCCTGGAGGTGGAGGTTGCAGTGAGTCCGAATTGTGGTCACTGCACTCCCAGCCTGGACAACAGAGCGAGACTCTGTCTTCAAAAAAATTTTTTACCTTATTTAGCTGAGTGATCTTAAGTAAGTTTATTTAACTTTCGCTGTGCACTTGTGCTGTTAGAATAATATAACAGTAGTGCTCAAATTCAGACAGTACTTATAAGGTTTTAGTGAGGCTGGGCACGTGGCTCAGGCCTGTAATCCCTAGCCACTTTCGGAGGCGGTGAGGCAGGCAGACCACTTGAGGGTCAGGAATTGCGAAACCAGCCTGGCCAACATAGTGAACTCCGTCTCTACTAAAAGTATAAAAAATTAGCCCCCGGGCAATGGGTGGTGCATGCCTCTAATTCCCAGCTACTCGGGAGGCTGGTGGCAGGGAGTGTTGCTTTGAACCCTCAGGAGGCAGAGATTGCAGTGGCTGAGGTTAGCCGCCCTTCACTCGCCAGCCTGGGCAGCAGTAGTGACGACTCTGTCTCATAAAATAAAATAAAATAAATAATAAAAAAAAATAAGGTTTCAGTGACACAGTGTTTAAAGCTGCGTGGTGGGCCACTGCCTGTAGTCCCAGCTACTCACGAGGCAGAGGTGGGAGGGTCGCTTGAGCACAGGAGTTTGAGGTGCAGTGAGCCGTGACTTGCACACTGCCACCTCCAGCTTGGCAAGAGAGGAGGACCTGTCTCTACAAAATATAACACGGTGAAACCCCGTCTTCTATAAAAATACAAAAAACTAGCCGGGGCGAGGTGGCGGCGCCTGTAGTCCCAAGCTACTCAGGAGGCTGAGGCAGGAGAATGGTTTAAACCCAGGAGGCGGAGCTGCAGTGAGCCGAGATCGCGCCACTGCACTCCAGCCTTTTAAGACTCCGTCCTCAAAAAAAAAAAAAAAATATATAGTATATATATATATATATAAATTTGCCAGGTGCGGTGGTGCACACCTGTAGTCCCACGTACTCAGGAGGCTGAGGTGGGAGGACCACTTGAGTCCAGGAGTCGAGCGCTCAGTAAGCCATGATAGTGCCATTGCATTCCAGCCTGAGTGACAGAGCAAGATCTGTCCCTAAAAAAAAAAGTTTGGCACAAAACACAAAAAGTGTTCAATAAATGATGGCTTCTAAAATAATAATACTTTTATTATTATTATTATTGTCAGGCACAGTGGCAGTCATGCCTGTAATCCCAGCAGTTTGAGAGACTGAGGCAAGGCAGGTTGCTTGTGCCCCAGAATTCAAGAGGTGGAACCAGATGACCTCCAAAAAAAAAAATTAATCAGGCATGATGGTGTGCATCTGTAGTCCTAGCTACTTCGGAGGCTGAGGTGGAGGGTTGTTTGAGCCCATGAGGTGGAGGCTGCAGTGAGCCAAGATAGTGCCACTGCAGTCCAGTCCAGGCTACAGAACCAGACCCCGTCTCAAAAAATAGTAATAATAATATTATTGTGGCCGGACATGGTGGCTCATGCCTGTGATCCCAACACTTTGGGAGGCCGAGGTGGGCGAATCACCTGAGGTCAGGAGTTCGACACCAGCCTGGCTAACATGGTGAAACCCCTTCTCCACTAAAAATACAAAAATTAGCCAGGCGTGGTGGCAGGTACCTGTAATCCCAGCTACTTGGGAGGCTGAGGCAGGAGAATTGCTTGAACCTGGGAGGCGGAGGTTGCAGTGAGCCAAGATCATGCCACCACACTCCAGTCTGGGTGACAGAGCGAAACTCTGTCTCAAAAAGAAAAAAATTATTGCTATGATAGATTGTGTCGCTTCTCTGCTCAGCACCCTCCTACAGCACCTGTCTCATTTGGAATAAATGATGACGTCCTTGCGTTGCCCACGTGGCCCTACACGCCACGGCCCCTGATAACTGGTTTTTGTTTTTGTTTTTGTTTTGAGATAGAGTCTTGCTCTGTTGCCCAGGCTGGAGTGTAGTGGCATGATTTCAGTTCACAGTAACCTCTGCCTCCCTGGTTCCAGTGATCCCTCCTGCCTCAGCCTCCTGAGTAGCTGGGATTATAGGCGCCTGCCACCACTCCAGGCTATTTTTGTATTTTTAGTAGAGATGGGGTTTCACCATGTTGGCCAGGCTGGTCTCAAACTCCTGACCTTAGGTGATCCGCCCACCTTGGCCTCCCAAAGTCCCGTGATTACTGGCATGAGCCACTGTGCCTGGCTCCTGATGACTCGGCTATTGCCTCCAGCCCTCTCCCGCTGGCAGATTCCACTCCAGCCACACTGGCCTCCTTGCTGTTCTCAGATGTGACTGTCATGTTCCCACCTCAGGGCCTTTGCACTGGCTGTTCTCAATGCCTGAAACACTCTCCCCCCAGATCTCCATGCATCTCTCCCACCTTTCCTTCAGATTTTTATGCAAATATCGCCTTCTCAGAGAAGCCTTCGCTGACTATGCCTGTAAAACTCCAACATAGCCAGCTTCCCTGTGTGATACTTTTCCCACAGTATTTATCATCTTCTAAAATACTGTGGATTTTGGATTTTGCTCATTTCTTTCTTTTTTTCTGATTTTTTTTTTTCTTTTTTGAGACAGAGTCTCACTCTGTCATCCGGGCCGGAGTGCAGGGGTACGATCAAGCTCACTCAGTCTCCTGGGCTCAAGTGATTCTCCCACTTCAGCCTTTTCAGTAGCTGGGATTACAGGCACACATGACCGTGCCTGCCTATGTTTTAAAAAGTTTTTGTAGAGATGGGGTCTCTCGATGTTGCCCGGGCTCATCTAGAACTCCTGACCTCAAGCGATCTTCCCGCCTTGGCCTCTCCAACTGTTGAGATTACAGGCCTGAACCACCGTGCCCAGCCCCAATATTCCAACGTACTAGGGTTTTAGCATTGCAATGTTCTAGAATTCCAAGATGCCACCGAGGTACTTCTAACAACACTAAGTTCTGGAATTCCATTTTTTTTTTTTTTGAGACGGAGTCTCACTCCGTCTCCCAGGCTGGAGTGCCGTGGTGTGATCTCAGCCCACTGCCGCCTGCATCTTCTGGGTTCCAGAAATTCTCAACCTCCCAAGTAGCTGGGATTACAGGCACACACCACCACACCCAGCTAATTTTTGTATTTTTAGTAGAGATGGCATTTTGGCATGTTGGCCTGGTCTTGAACTCCTGGCCTCAAGTGATCTGCCCTTCTTGGCCTCCCAAAGTGTTAAGATTACAGGTGTGAGCCACCACACTCAGCCTAGAATTCCAATATTCTAAAGCACGGGAGTTCTTATGACACAGTATTCCAGTTTGCAAGGTGCTGGTGGGCCGGGCTGATGGACACCCTAGATCTCCAGGGCCGTGGAGTTTCCGCCTCTGAGTTTTCATTGTCTTTCTTCCCTGCCCAGACACCAGGAGCCTGAATGGGGAACGATTCTATCAGCTACGAGTATGGGGATTACAGCGACCTCTTGGACCTCCCTGTGGACTGCCTGGATGGCGCCTGCCTGGCCACCAACACGCTGCGCATGGCCCCGCTCCCGCTGTATGCTGCCATCTTCCTGGTGGGGGTGCCGGGCAATGCCATGGTGGCCTGGGTGGCTGGGAAGGAGGCCCGCCGGAGGGTGGGTGCCACCTGGTTGCTCCACCTGGCCGTGGCGGATTTGCTGTGCTGTTTGTCTCTGCCCATCCTGGCAGTGCCCATTGCCCATGGGGGCCACTGGCCATATGGGGAAGTGGGCTGTCGGGTGCTGCCCTCCGTCATCCTGCTGACCATGTATGCCAGCGTCCTGCTCCTGGCAGCTCTCAGTGCCGACCTCTGCTTTCTGGCTCTCGGGCCTGCCTGGTGGTCGAAGGTTCAGCGGGCGTGCGGGGTGCAGGTGGCCTGCGGGGCAGCCTGGACGCTGGCCTTGCTGCTCACCGTGCCCTCCGCCATCTACCGCCGGCTGCACCAGGAGCACTTCCCCGCCCGGCTGCAGTGTGTGGTGGACTACGGTGGCTCCTCCAGCACCGAGAACGCAGTGACCGCCGTCCGGTTTCTTTTTGGCTTCCTGGGGCCCCTGGTGGTCGTGGCCAGCTGCCACGGTGCCCTCCTGTGCTGGGCAGCCCGACACCGCTGGCCACTGGGCATGGCCATTGTGGTGGGGTTTTTTGTCTGCTGGACGCCCTACCACCTGTTGGGGCTGGTGCTCACTGTGGCAGCCCCGAACTCCGCACTCCTGGCCAGGGCCCTGAGGGCTGAACCCCTCGTCGTGGGCCTTGCCCTCGCTCACAGCTGCCTCAATCCAATGCTTTTCCTGTATTTCGGGAGGGCTCAACTCCGCCGGTCACTGCCAGCTGCCTGTCACTGGGCCCTGAGGGAGTCCCAGGGCAGGGAAGAAAGTGTGGACAGCAAGAAATCCACCAGCCATGAACTGGTCTCGGAGATGGAGGTGTAGGCTGGAGAGACACTGTGGATGTGTATCTTCCTATCCCATTTCACAAGACTGGCTTCAGGCATAGCTGGATCCAGGAGCTCACTGATGTCTTCATTTTATTCCTTCATTCAACAGATACCCATTATGCACCTGCTATGTGCAAGGCCTTTTTGGGCACTGGAGATATAGTAGTGACCAAAACAGACACAAATCCTGCCCTCAGGGAGCTGATATTCTAGTGGAGGAAGACAGACTTTAAACAAAGATATACAGGGCCATTTGCGGTGGCTCATGCCTGTAATCCCAGCGCTTTGAGAGGCTGAGGCAGGTGGATCACTTGAGGTCAGGAGTTCAAGACCAGCCTGGGCAATATGGTGAAACCCCATCTCTACTAAAAATACAAAAATTAGCCGGGCGTGGTGGCATATGCCTGTAGTCCCAGCTACTTGAGAGGCTGAGGCAGAAGACTTGTTTTGAACCCGGGAGGCAGAGGTGGCAGTAAACCAAGATTGAGCCCCTGCACTCCAGCCTGGGTGACAGAGCGAGACTCCGTCTCAAAAAAAAAAAAAAAAAAAAAATTAAAAGATTTTATTTATTTTTTTTTTTGAGACGGAGTCTCACTCTGTCGCCCAGGCTGGAGTGCAGTGGCACAATCTCGGCTCACTGCAAGCTCCACTTCCTGAGTTTGCGCCATTCTCCTGCCTTAGCCTCCTGAGTAGCTGGGATTACAGGTGCCTGCCACCATGCCCAGCTAATTTTTAAATTTTGAGTAAAGACGGGGTTTCACCTTGTTAGCCAGGATGGTCTCAATCTCCTGACCTCGTGATCCGCCCGTCTCAGCCTCCCAAAGTGCTGGGATGACAGGCGTGAGCCGCTGCACCCGGCCAAAAGATTTTAGCAGGATCCCTCTGGTTGCTGGTGGAGATGAGAGTATGGTGTGGGGGCAGTGAAGATCCCAGAGAGGAGGCTACTGCAATGGTCCAAGCAGGAGGTGATAGTGGTTTGGATCAGGGTAACAGAGTCGAGGTGGTGAGGGGCTGACAGGTCATGGATCTATTTTGAAGGAAAGGCCAAGTCCAGGCTCCTTAGCTCGGCATTCAAGGCTTGTCTCCACCACGGACACACTTCCTCTCTGGCTTCTCAGACCTTATAGCAGATAGAATCATGACCCCCAATGGTGTCCACATCTGAATCCTCTGAATCTGTGAACAGGTGACCTTCCATGGCAAAGGGGACTTTGCAGATGAGATTAAGGATCTTGAGAAGGGGTGGTTATCCTGGATTGTCTGGGCGGACTCAATGGAGTCACAAGGGTCCTTTTAAGAGGGAGGCAGGAGGGTCAGGGTCAGTCACAGGAGATGTGACAACGGAAGCAGATGTCATAGTGACGTGAGGGGGTGCCAAGAAATGCAGGCAGCTTCCAGAAGCTGAAACAGACAAGAAAACTGATTTTCTCTGAAGCTCTCAGAAGGAACGCAGACCTGCGACACTTTCAGAACTCTGATCTGCAGACCTTTAAGAAAATACATTTGTATTGTTTTAAGTCACTATGTTTGGGGTGTTTTTTACAGCAGCCGTGGGAAGCTAACACACACCCTTTGGACTATATTATTTTCTTACTTCTGGATCTTTCCTGAAGCTGTGCCACTGACTGGAATGTCCTTCTGATCTATGATGTGCAGTTCAACAATCAAGAACCATCTGTGGCTATTCAAATTAGAATCAATTGGCCAGGCGTGGTGGCTCACGCCTATAATCTCAGCACTTTGGGAGGCCGAGGCAGGAGGATTGCATGAGCCCAGGAGTTTGAGAGCAGCCTGGGCAACATAGCAAGACCCCATCTCTATAAAAAATACAAAAATTAGCCAGGCATGGTGGGGCGTGCCTGCAGTCCCAGCTACTGAGGAGGGAGTTGCTTGAATCCTTCTGTTTCAATCCTCCTTGAAGCAGGTAGATTGCTTGAGCCCGGGAAGTGGAGTTTGCAGAGAGCTTAGATCGCACTGCTGCACTCCAGCCTGGATGTCAGAGTGAGACTCCATCTCGAAAGAAAGAATAAATTTTCGTTTCAAATTCAGTTCCTCAGGCACACTGACCATAGTTCAAGCACTCAGTAGCCACATATGGCTGGTGACTGCCATATTCAACAGCACAGCTATAGAACACTGCCATCATAAAAGAGATTTCTGTTACAAAATACTCTCTAGAATTTACTCTTGAACTCTACCTGCTCAGATCTCTTAAATTACATAGTAAGCCAGGCACGGTGGCTCATGCCTGTAATCCCACCACTTTGGGAGGCCCAGTCGAGAGGATCCCTTGAGCCCAGAAGTTGGAGACTGGCCTGGGCAACAGAGCAAGACCCCATCTCTACAAAATAAAAAAAAAAGAAAATTAGCCTGGTTTGGTGCACATGCCTGTAGTGCCAGCTACTAGGGAGGCTGAGATGGGAGGATTGCTTGAGCCTGCGAGGTTGAGGCTGAAGTGAGCCATGATTGCATCACTGCACTCTAGCCTAGGTGACGGAGTGAGACCCTGCTGCTAAATAAATAAATAATTAAATAACATAATAGTGGTACCTGTGTCTGCAGTCATTAGTCCAGAACAGCACTTTACACATAGTTTCTCCTTCAAGGTCATTCTCACAACAGCCCAGGGAGATAGGGTGGCATGCTCCATTTTATAAGCTGAGGTCCAGGGAGGAGAGGTCATTTACCCAAGATCACACAGCAAGAACACCGGACAGCTGGAATATGATCCCAGTTTTACTTGACTCCGACACTCCTGCTCTTCATCATCAATAATTTCCTTCAAGGCCTCCCTCAAATGTCACTTCCTCCAGGAAGCCCTCTCTGATTTATACTCCTTCCAGAAAGAATGGGCTCTTCCTTTCTCTGAGTCTCTGGAATACAAGGTCCCAGCTAAACTGTAAATTCCCCAAGGGTAACAACTGGACTAATTTTTAAATTTTTTATTTTATTATTATTTTTTATTTTTTTCAGACGGAGTCTCTCTCTGTCGCCCAGGCTGGAGTGCAGTGGTGCCATCTCGGCTCACTGCAAGATGCGCCTCCTGGGTTCATGCCATTCTCCTGCCTCAGCCTCCCGAATAGTTGGGACTACAGGTACCTGCCACCACGCCCGGCTAATTTTTTGTATTTTTTTTTTTTTTTTTTTAGCAGAGACAGAGTTTCACTGTGTTAGCCAGGATGGTCTCGATCCCCTGACCTCGTGATCCGTCTGTCTCAGCCTCCCAAAGTGCTGGGATTACAGGCGTGAGCCATCATGCCTGGCCTATTATTATTTTTTTGAGATGAAGTCTTGCTCTGTCACCCAGGCTGGATTGCAGTGGCATGATCTCAGGTGACTGCAACCTCCACCTCCCAGGTTCAAGCAATTCTTATGGCTCAGCCTCCCGAGTAGCTGGGATTACAGGCACAGCCACCACACCTGGCTAATTTTTGTATTTTTAGTAGAGACAGGGTTTCACCATGTTGGCCAGGCTGGTGTCGAACTCCTGACCTCAGGTGATCCACCCACCTCAGTCTCCCAAAGTGCCAGGAATACAGCCGTGAGCCACCGTTTCTGGCCTTATCCTGTGACTTAGAATGCTTAACCTCCTGGGAATGCAGCCCAGTAGGCCTCAGCCTTATTTCACCCAGCTCCTATTCAAGATGGAATCACTCTGGTATGCGTCTGACATTTCCCTCCTCCCTTTTATTTTTATTATTTTTATTTTATTTTATTTTTTGAGACGGAGTCTCACTCTGTCACCCAGGCTGGAGTGCAGTGGCACCATCGCGGTTCACTGCAAGCTCTCTCCGCCTCCCAGGTTCATGCCATTCTCCTGCCTCAGTCTCACGACGAATAGGCATGTGGAGTACGAGGTGCCCGCCATCACCATGCCTGGCTTAATTTTTGTATTTTAGTAAGAGACAGGGTTCAACCATGTAGGCCAGATGCATTGAATATCCTGACCTCCGTGATCCCCCGCTCGCGCCTCCTAAAGTGCAGACTGACAAATGCGGAACGCCACTGCGACCCGGGCCCCCCCCACCTCCACTTCCATAAGAGAAGCTTTAACCTCCTAAGGGTTGTCAGAGGAAAGATCCCATCTTCCCGGTACTTCCCTGCAGCTGAAGAGGGGTGAGAATATCCCTGCCTAACTATTAGATCTAGCATTCAGGGTAGAGGAGGAGTTCAACTGTGAAAAGCATTGGAACCCCAGGGCCGAGTGGCTCAAAGCCTGTATCCCAGGCACCTTTGGAAGGCCCGAGAACGTGCCGGATCAAGCAGAGTCAGGAAGATCGAGACCATCCCCTGGCTAACACAATGAAAACCTCCATTCCTACTAAAAATACAAAATAATAGCCGGCATGGTGGCGGCGCCTGTAGTCCCAGCCTACTCGGGGGCTGGAAGGCAGGAGAATGCGCCGTGAACCCGGGAGCAGGAGCTTCTGCAGTGAAGCCGAGATCGCAACCACTGCACCTCCGCCTGGGCGACAGAGCA